TTAATTAATTAAATTAATTAATTAATTAATTATATTTTTAGCCAAGACGGGAGCTGCATGCAGCTGCTGCTGCTGCGTCTTTGTCTTTTGCTTCTTCGCTTGTGAAGCCGCATAAATGTGCAGATTTAGCAGCAAATTAATTAATTAATTAATTAATTAATTAATTAATTAATTAACTAATTAATTAATTAATTTAATTAAATAATTAAATTAAATAATTAAATTTATTTATTTAATTTATTTATTTAATTTAATTATTAATTGCTGCGCCAAGAAATGGAAGAAAACCGAAAAAACAAAACCCCGAATTGATTAATTCTTTTACGCTGAGGTGTACGTACACCTCAAATCCCAACACTCCTGGACCCCCTAGAGGGACTTCAGTCCATTTCTTTTTCCTCAAAAAATGCTGCTGCTGCTGCTGCAGCTGCTGCTGCTGCTGCAGCTGCTGCTGCTGCAGCTGCTGCTGCTGCTGCAGCTGCTGCTGCTGCAGCTGCTGCTGCAGCTGCTGCTGCTGCTGCTGCTGCAGCTGCTGCTGCTGCAGCTGCTGCTGCTGCAGCTGCTGTTGCTGCTGCAGCAGCTGCTGATGCTGCAGCAGCAGCTGTTGCTGCTGCAGCAGCAGCAGCTGCTGCTGCTGCTGCTCTTGCCGTTGCTGCTCCGCTTTTATTGCCTCTTGCTCACGCTGCTACAGCTGCACCAGAAGCAACTGCAGCAGCAGCAGCTCAACTGCAGCAGCAGCATTGCTGCAGCAGCATCTCAGCTGCAGCAGCAGCTTTGCTGCAGCTGCAGCAAACCAACTGCTACTGTAGCTGAGTCCCCACACAATCAAATGCGCCTTTGTGGGGCCGCAGCAGCAGCTAGGGATTTAGTGAAGGTTACGCTGCTGCTGTAGCTGCTGCTGCTGCTGTCGCAGCAGCAGCTGCTGCTGCTGCAGCTGCTGCTGCTGCTGCTGCAACTTAAACCGAGAGCTTCTTGGCAGCATTGGCTGCTGCCCGATTCTCAGCAGCGTGAGCTGCTGCATTGGCACTTCCTGCACGAGCAAGAGCAGCAGCAGCTGCTGCCGAAGCAGCGCAGCAGCAGCAGCTGCTGCTGCCGAAGCAGCGCAGCAGCACAGCAGCAGCAGCAGCAGCAGCTCCTCGAAAGGCAGCCAAGGCAGCAGCAAAAGATTGACTTAGAGGTAAAGGCCCTTCTGGTTGATGTACTCCACAACAGCAGCAGGTGTCAGAGACAAACAAGCAGCGAGCTGCAGCACAGCAGCAGCAGCAGCAGCAGCAGCAGTAGCAGCAACAGCAGCAGCAGTAGCAGCAACAGCAGCAGCAGCAGCAAAAGGTACAGGTCAGCAGGCTGCGCAAGGCCACGCCGCTGCATTGAGCAGCCCATGGGCTGCTCGCCCGCGAGGAGGCCTCGCCGCCAGGGTTTAGGGTTTAGGGTTTAGGGTTTAGGGTTTAGGGTTTACGTGATGGGGTCCCTGGTTTCTCTTTTTGAGTTTGCTTCTCAAAACAGAAGAAGAGACACGAGGCAGCAAAGTCCTGCTGCTGTCTTTGTCGAGCATGTCATTAACAAAAGCAAACCGGTGCATGCGCTTCAGCTGTCTAGACACCTCGTTGCTGCTGCTGCTGCTGCTGCTGCTGCTGCTGCTGCTGCTGCTGAGGCCGCTGCCGTTGCAGGTCACTTCGCTGCTGCTCGGGCTGCTGCTGCGGCTTCCGCTGCTGCTGCTGCTGCCTCTGACTCCGTCCTTGTTGCTGCCCTGGCTCGCACTGCTGCTGCTGCTGCTGCTGCTGCTGCTGCTGCTGCGCCCCACAGGCGTACTATCGGCTGCTGAAGCCTCAGCTGCTGCTGCATCTTCTGCTGCTTCTTCCGCAGCAGCAAAAGCAGCTGAGGGGGCCCCCAGGGGGCCCCCTTCTCTATCAATGAGGAGAAACCGAGTGCTCTGCAGCAGCCGTTCCCCTTCGTACCTGCAGCAGCAGCAGCAGCAGCAGACACAACAGCAGCAGTAGCAGCAGCAGCAACAGCAGCCGCGCCAGCAGCAGCAGGAGCCAGAACGGCGACGACAGCAAAGCAGCAGCAGCCGCAGCAGCAGCCGCAGCAGCAGCAGTAATAGCAGCAGCAGCAGCAGGACAGCAGCAGCTGCAGCGGCGCCGAGGCACAGAGAGGAAGGCCAAGCCAAAGATGGAGCAGCAGCAGCTGCTGCTGCTGCGCAGCAAGAAGCTGCAGCAGCCCCTCAAGCAGCAGCAAGAGCCGCAGCAGCTGCTGCTGCTGCTGCGGAAGCAGCAGCAGCTGCTGCTGCTGCAGCAGAGGAGCAACAGCCCTACCACTTGTGCAAGTTAGGAATGCAGTCAGCACCAACAAGAAGCCACAGCTCCGGCAATTGCTGCTGCTGCTGCTGCTGCTGCTGCTGCTGCTGCTGCTCTAGCAGCCGCTGCTGCAGAATGCCAAGCAGCTTAACTGTGGGCACAAAGCAGCCCGCCTGCGCCTCTATGTCCAGCACCTGCGCAGCAGCAGCAGCAGAAGCAGCAGCAGCAGCAGAAGCAGCAGCAGGTGAAGCAGCAGCAGCATCCAGAGAAGAAGAAACATTCATGGCAAGAGCGGCACCCAGAGCAGCAGCAGCAGCAGCAGCAGCACCAGCGACAGCACAGCAGCAGCAACAACAGCAACAGCACAGCAGCAGTCTCAATACCACTAGCAGCAGCAGCAGCAGCGCAACAGCAGGAGCAACGGCAGCAGCACAACAGCAGCAGCAACAGCAGCGCAGCAGCAGCAGCAGCAGCAGCAGCAGCAGCAGCAGCAGCAGAGTTTACATCGACGACTTGCCCCGCAAGAGGGCCGAAGAACTCCTTGACTGCGAGGCGAGTCATTTGGAGACGATCCCAAGTGGAGACGCACAAGTGCTTGTCTTTGCGCACGCCCGCTTGCTGCTGCTGCTGCTGCTGCTGCTGCTGCTGCTGCGGCTGCTGCTGCTGCTGCTGCGGCTGCGGCTGCGGCTGCTGCTGGTCTTGCCGCTGGTGCTGGTCGTGCTGCTGTTGCCGCTGCTGCTGGTCTTGCTGCTGGTCTTGCTGCTCGTGCTGGTCTTGCTGATGCTGTTGCTGGTGGTTTCCCTCCTGCTGCTGCTGCTGCTGCTGCTGCTGCTGCTGCTTGTCTGCAGGAGAACCCCCACAAGGCACCAGCCAAACTTTTGCTGCTGCTCTGCTCGCCAGCACTGCAGCAGCAGCCTGCAGGTGTGCGTAGTGCGGAGGGTCGAAGCTGCCCCCATAGACGCAGATCCTGCAGCAGCAGCAGCAGCAGCAGCAGCAGCAGTGTAAGCGCAGCAGCAGCAGCGGTTGTGGGGAAGCAGCAGCAGCAGCAGCAGCAGCAGCATGAACATAAAGGCAAACAAGCAGCAAACACTGGAAACAACAAGTGCTGCAGTGGTTTCAAATCACTAGCATCCGAAAGAGCTTTTGCAGCAGCAGCAGCAGCAGCGGAATAAGCAACAGCAGCAGCAACAGCAGCAGCAACAGCAGCAACAGCAACAGCAGCAGCAGCAGCAACCGCACCGCTCAGCCGTGCCCAACTCCTCAGGGCGCACCGGGAATCTCCTAGCTGGCCCCATTAGGCGGCTGCTGCTGCTGCTGCTGCTTCTGCTGCTCCTGTCCCTGCTGCTGCTTCTGCTGCTCCTGTCCCTGCTGCTGCTGCTGCTGCTGTCGCTGCTCTTGGGGCTGGTGCTCCTGATCTGGCTTCTGCTGCTGCTGCTGCTGGTCCGGGCTGCTGCTGCTGCTGCGTATATTGCTGCTGCTGCGTATATTGCTGCTGCTGCTGCTGCTGCTGCTGCGGTCGTGGCCTTCAAACGACTGCGTGGGGCTCCTGAGTGGCAGCAGATGCCGCAGACTCCACAGTGGATTCACTGCTGCTGCTGCTGCTGCCGTTGTTGTTGCTGCTGCTGCTGTAGCTGAAGCCAACGCCACCCGTATTTCAGCTGCTGCTGCTGCTGCTGCTGCTGCTGTACGTGCTGCTGTTTCCACTGTTGCTGCTGGTGCAGCCGCTAGTCCTGCTGTTTGCGCTGAAATTACTCACGCCATGGCTGCTGCTGCTGCTGCTGCTGCTGCTCCGGCTGTTGCTGCGCAAGAGGCTTGACAGACACCGCGTCGGCAGCAGCAGCAGCAGCAGCAGCAGCAGCAGCAGCAGCAAAGAGGCGTTGACCGGGCTTTCCTCAGCACACTTTTCAGTTTAAAATCTTTAAATAAATACAAGAAAGTAAATAAGTTCAAAAAAGGCTCCGAGGCCCCTCTATAAGACCAGCAGAGGCCCCAGGGGGCCCCTTGGGGGCCCCTTGGGGGCCCCCAGGGGCCCTAGGGGGGCCCCCCGGGGGCCCCCATGGGGGCCCCTGGGGGCCCCCTAGAGCCTCGCTAGTTCGTTGCCCTTTTAATGCATTTTGTATTGCTTGCCACCTCTAAATTACGGGTTTAGGGCCTAGGGTTTAGGGTTTAGGGTTTAGGGTTTAGGGTTTAGGGTTTAGGGCTTAGTGTTTAGTGTTTAGTGCCTGGGGGCCAACAGGATTCTAGGCGTGGCCGCTGCCCTGCTGCTGCCATTGGACGGCTACCTGCAGCAGCTGTAGCTGCTGCAGTTGCTATTGCTGCTGCTGCTGCGGCGGCCGTTGCCGCTGCTGCTGCTGCTGCTGCTGCTGCTGCAGCTCTTCGGTGAAGCCAGCCTGCTGCAGGTGTGGGGTCAAAAGGTGCTTTCAAAAAACAGCTGCAGCAGCAGCAGTGGCTACCCGGTGCTGTTGCTTGCTGCAGCAGCAAGCAGCAGCACGCACAGGCAGGAGCAGCAGCAACTGGCGACAGCAGCAGCAGTTACAAGCCAGCAGCAGCAGCAGCAGCAAAGCCTTGGGACCCATCAACCAGTTGGTGCTGCTTCTTACGAGCTAAACCAGCAGCAGCAGCAGGCGGGGCTCCCGGAGCAGCAGATGAGGCAGCAGCAGAGGCAACTGAAGCAGCAGCAGAAACACCAGAAGCAGCAAAAGCAGCAGCAGCAGCAGCAGCAACAGCAGCAGCAGCAGCAACAGCAGCAGCAGCAGCTAAGATGGGCAACGTCAGTCCTGAGGTGTTGTGCTCCTTGGTCGAGACAGCAATGCATTCTTTGCTGTGCGTTCGGAAGGTCTATCCCCCCGGTAAGCTGCTGCTGCTGCTGCTGCTGCTGTTGCTGCTGCTGCTGCTGCTGCTGCTGCTGCTGCTGCTGCTGACGTTGCAGGTGCTGCTGCTGCTACTAGCACTGCCTATGCGCCCGCTGCTGAATTGTCTGCGAGATTGTCTTGCTGCTGCTGCTCCTCTTGCCTGCACCTGCTGCTGTTTCTGCTGCTGCTATCGCTGCTGCTGCTGCTGTTGCTGCTACTGCTGCTGCTGCTGTTGCTGCTACTGCTGCTGCTGCTGCTGCTGCTCAGAGTCCTTCTCTCGCGTGCGCCGCTTCGGCCAGCTGGTGTGGCAGTCGAACTCCAAAGCCCTGAGGGCTTACCTCAATGAGGTTTGCAAACCCTAAACCCTAAACCCTAAACCCTAAACCCTAAACCCTCCATTCTAAACCCTCTTCCCAGACCCTAAACCCTAGGCCCTCGCAGCTGCTGCGAACCCTAGCCACAGGCCCCTTGCCCAGCAGCAGCCCCAGCAACAGCAGCAACAGCAGCGGCAGCAGCAGCAGCGGTTTCTGGCGTTGCTGCTGCATTCTCTGGCAAGTAGCTAGCTAGCCATCTATCTGAGTAGCTAGCCAGGTGGCTAGCTAGCTAGCTGTCCAGCTATCTGGGTAGTTAGCTGGGTGGCTAGCTGGGTGGCTAGCTAGCTAGCTGGGCGGCTAGCGGGGTCGCCAGCTAGCTAGCTAGCTAGCTAGCTAGCCACCCAGCTAGCTAGCTAGCCAGCCAGCTAGCTAGCCACCCAGCTAGCTAGCTAGCTAGCCACCCAGCTAGCCACCCAGCTAGCTAGCCACCCAGCCAGCCACCCAGCCAGCCACCCAGCCAGCCACCCAGCTAGCTGGCTATCTAGCTAGCCAGCTAGCTAGCCAGCTAGCCAGCTAGCTAGCCAGCTAGCCAGCTAGCTAGCTAGCTAGCTAGCTGGGCTTTGCGCTTGCTTCAGGTTTGCTGGTCCTTGCTGGAGCCGCTGAAGAGGGGTCTTGTTGCTGCTGTTTGTCTGCGGCTGCATGACCAGCGAGGAGCAGCAGCAGAAACTTACACTTTTGCTTTTCCCCAAGAGCCTGCTGCTGCTGCTGCTGCTGCTGCTGCTGCTGCTGCTGCTGGTCCTGCGGCTGCTGCTGCGGGCGCGGACTATGACGCGACAGAAAGCATTCAGAACTTCCTCACCCGGACAGAGCTCATCAGCTGCTGGCTGCCGCAGCAGCTGCAGCAGCAGCAGCAGCAGCAGCAGCAGCAGCAACTGCAGCAGCAGCAGCACGAGCAGCAGTTGCCGCTGCTGCAGTCCTTTTCTGTGTGCGCACACGTCATAGAGGACGTGGCAGACCTGGCGGAAGCCAATGCAGCAGCAGCAGCAGCGCCTGCTGCTGCTGCTGCTGCTGCTGCTGCTGCTGCTGCTGCTGGCGGCGAGCTGTGCAGCCCCGAAAGCCGTGCTGCAGCACAGCGCTTCCTTTGCCAGTGGAGAAGGCCCTACAGCCAAAGAAAGGATTGCTGCGGTGGGTGCAGCTGCTGCTGCTGTTTCGTTGCTGCTGCTGCTGCTCTAGTTGCTGCTGCTGCTGCTGCTGTTTCGTTGCTGCTGCTGCTGCTATAGTTGCTGCTGCTGCTGCAGTTGCTTTTGCGCGTGCTGCTGTTGCTGCTTGCCGGTCCGGGTGCCCGCGTGGCTAGTGCGGCTTCCCTGCAGCTGCCGCTGCTGCTGAACCCACTGCGTGCGCTGCTGCTGCTGCTGCTGCTGCTTCTGCTGCTGCTGCTGCTGCTGCTGCTGCAGAAGGCGACAGCTGCGGCCTGCAGGGCGAAGGGCTGCTGTCAGTGCCCTGCACTGCTGTACGGACAGGAGCTGCCACTGTCTTGACACTCTCCGTCACAGCAGGACTTCAGCAGCAGCAGCAGCAGCAGCAGCAGCAGCAGCAGCAGCAGCAGGTGCTGCAGTGGGCTTCACAAGAGCTGTACGAGCAGATGCAGGAACAGCAGCAGCACCAACAGCAGCAGCAGCAGCAGCAGCAGCAGCAGCAGCAGCAGCAGCAAATGTCGGACTTGACAGATGATGACTTTGCCGATTTGGACTTCGAGTGAAATCTCAGTGCCCTTTGAGGTGTACAGACACCCCACCCTCAGCGGGCGCCCTCCCCAGCTTTTGCTGCTCTAGCCCCTTCAAGGCACAGCTAGCTAGCTAGCTAGCTAGCTAGCTAGCTAGGCTATCTAGCTAGCCAGCTAGTTAGTTCGCTAGCTAGCTAGCTAGCTAGCTAGCTAGTCAGCTAGCTAGCTAGCTAGGCTATCTAGCTAGCCAGCAAGCTAACCAGCTAACTGGCTAGCTAGCTAGCTAGCTGGCTAGCTAGTTAGCTAGCTAGCTGGCC